ATCCTTTTTAAGTGTCTTTAGATATTTGAGATTTTCCTACTATGAATTCTGTTTAGATCTATACCCCATTTTCATAAGAATTGGTATGGACTTGGCCTGGGGAAGGATTAAGGTGGACAAAATACTAGGGAGTAGGCGCAGTACAGTTCCACTGCTAGGCTGGCAACTCACCTATTCTGGCTTGTGTGGTTTCTGTCTGCTTTTTTGAAGTATTCTGACATTGGAGCCAGAGCACCATCATGCCAGTAGGTTTGCTAGAAAGGAGGGGGCTTGAAAAGTGGTCTCTGGAATTCGATATAATATTGGAACTTTTATCTTTGGATAACAAACTACTCTCACGTTTGACAAAATGTTGGCCCAGTGAAATTAAATTTATGACTGGTGTTGTATACCTAGTTAAATGCCCATGGCAGAAGAGGTCATAGAACCAAGAAGAGAACTTAATTCTACAAGCTTCCTAAGCCAGTGCAATTTCTGTTTTCAAAATATATATCTTTATGCCCAGAGATAAGTGCAGCTCACACTGCTTTTCTAAAAAGTGCCTTTTTGCAGCAGATGAGATTGTTCCTGGTCAAAATTCAGAAAATACATGACCATGGCATGCCGAGCCACAACTATTACAAATACAACATAAAGCTAATACTTAAAGATCATAGAACATGGAACAAGAAAGGAAAGGAAGATTATAAGAGCCTTCTAAACATAACAGGAATGCTTCGTCCATGAAGTCATAACAATAATATCACTTGAAGAAGAGCTGCATAATGATAGAAACCATAGACAATGTGGATGCCAAAAAAAAAAATCACAACTCCCCACCGAAATTTGAAGAGTTGGAGGCAGTGAATAACTGCTGTTGGGACTAGGGCTGGATCTTTCAAGACTGAACTCTTTGATATGTTAACCATTTCCAACTCCAGCTCAGCATGCATGATGTATGCATGAACAAGACTAAATGGACTCAAGATATTTTATAATATATATAGCAGTAATTATATAAAAGGTCATGTGTGAGCCTTGCCTGAAGATAAGAAAGGGTTGAAGCATAGGTAAAAACCCTGGATTTTCTCATCCCGAGAATGGCAGGAGGGTGGTAGCTATGTTGCTTTGCTCAGATGCCAGCAGACCCCAGTGTTTATGCTTTCTCCAGTGTAGACTTGCCACAATGCTTATTAGCAGCTGATAATCTTTTGAGTCTTCACAACTAAAGGGTCTAGTTGCCTTATATTTGACCACTGAAACATCCCGGGCTGGATATCCTATCACTTTATAATGTTCCTTCTCATGGCTAATATAATATGACTATCCAAATAAAGTATGTTTGATGTTTTTGCCCTAGTTAATGACATGCCACCAAATGGACCCAACTGGCCACTTCTTCCAGGGTATAATTGAATTGGGGTTCCCCTTCGTAGGCTACGAATATGTTTTATTACCATTGCTTAATAAAGGAGCTGCTTTGCCCTATGGCTGGGCAGAATATAGGTAGGTGGGAAAATTAGTATGAACGCAAGAAGAATGAAGTTGGAGACTGGCAGATGTCATATATATA